TATATATATATATATATATATATTACTATATACATAAACATATATATATATATATATATATATATATATATATATATATATATATATATATATATATATATATATATATATATATATATATATATTAAGGATGTTCTTTTTATATTTTTTTTCTGATAAGTATTTGCTTTTTATTTGGACCAAAAAAAAATAAAAAAAATCATGTGCTAACAACTCAAACATCTTTGAACTATTTCTTGGTAAAGGTTGATCGAATATTCTTCCCATATAAAGATTGTAGTTTAAGAAGAATGCAAACAGAATGTAACTTCTGAATTCTGACCATCTTTTCTGAAAAATCGGTAACTCGGTTCCTTACCCCAATTTAAACCCCGACCGGCCAACTCATCTAGTAAGAATGTCTAAATAATGATGATATATATGTTCATCTGGAGAATAGGGCAACTCTGTTGAGATAGCATGCAGAAGCCGGATCTTGAAGACAGCCACAGAAACTATCTTCGTCTTTCGGAAACGAAATCGGAAGGGGATGATCTGGGATTACGCCAACCTTCAAAACAAGAACATATAAATATTATTTGCTTTTGCATCAGTACGTGCGTGCGTGCGTGTGTGTGTGTGTGTGTGTGTGTGAGAGAGAGAGAGAGAGACCTTGTCAATATCAGTGTGGGCAGGTGTTTCGTAACGAGCAACGGTTACAGCCAAACCAGAGCCATCAGACAGCTCAAAAACCGATTGAATTTTGCTGCAAAGTAATAGCAGGGGATTTTCGATCAGTGCTTCGAGTATGGGTTTTTTACAAAGCAGAAATAAAAACATGGCTCAGATTGGAAATTCACCCTTTTCCATATGTAGGTTCTCCCAATACGACAGCACGCTTGTTGTCCTTTAGAGCACCAGCTAATATTTCACTTGCACTTGCAGTTCCTTTATTCACCTACAACAGAGCCATATTTATCGAACAATGGTCGGACAAAATTAAATTCTCGCTTAGGACATACGAAGAATTTGCTTCGATTTTGACATGATAACACGCTTTATACAACGTAATACGTCGAGTTTGAAGAAGCTTTTGTCGAGTTGAACACATTTATTTCGAATAGATCTTTCCAAATAGTATCAAATAAAGAAGTGAAGAAAAAACAAAAGGACTCTAGCTCTTTAGAAAAAATCGAATTTAATTTAAATCCGACTGTTAGTATCAAACTATGAAGACTAGTCAAAAATTTACGGGCAAAATAACTACGAATCGAAAATTTATTAGCTTTGAAGTTAACCCACCAAACTTTTTCGAATTCTTGGATAGCGAAACGATACAGTCCCACTTAATGCATTATTATACATTTAAAATAGTTGATCTTTTATAATTACCCATAGGAATACTAATGATCGGTTTTTCGAGAGTTGCAAAAGCTAAAATAGCCACACAAAAAAAAAAAGAAAGAAACAAATATAAATGTAGTCATAACTCGGGTTCTAAGGCAAAAATACAGGATAATAGAGTTGCAAAAATGAAATTGGCATACCAGCACCACTAGGGGTTCAGAAGCTGCTGCTGCATTGCTGCCATCTGTGTCGTATATATCTCTAACACCTCGGCTATCACAAATGTATACAATCACACCTTTGTCCAACCTGATTACGATAGCAATTCAAGTAAGACTTTATCCCCTCTATCAGAACAAACCAATTATATAGATAGAAGTAAAGAAAGTTGTTGAAAATGCTGCAGGTCAACTCAGGAGGGGGGAAAATCAAGAAATTAAGGCTGAATTTCGTAAAATGATTATCGAATTAAACTGAAAACCGAATTGTGTCTTGTGGTCTACTCTACTCTGAAAATTACTTCCCACGAAGTTTAGCAGATCATTTTTTTATTTTTTTTTGTTGTAATTAACACCACCTTCGTTTTTTTCATGCATGAAGTAACATACTGGAAGGCATTTATGATTGACGATAATAGAATCAAAAGA